GAAGCTGCATCTGTCCCTGGGTCGTCCCAGAAGCTGCATCCGTCCCTGGGTCGTCCCAGAAGCTGCATCCGTCCCTGGGTCGTCCCAGAAGCTGCATCCGTCCCTGGGTCGCTGTTGAATTACAGCCCAAGGTGTTGAGGTCTTGTTCCTCTGACTCTTCTTCTTCATGTCACACATCATTTTCACATAGATAATGTGATCCTAGAAGTCTGCCATTGAAAACGCCTTCCTGTATAGCCTGTTGCTGCATGTTCTTGTATGAACTCTCTATCTTCTGTTTCAGGCAGATTAGAAGCAAGTTTCTACATTTTGTCCATCGGTGCCTGATCCTCTTCATGTCTGGAACTTTTTCTTCAGGAACTTTCTCTGCGTGTTGTCGGCTCTCACCGCTGGGACATTCAGGGAAACTACAGAGCTGCTGGGAGAAAACACCAGCTGCTTTAGCAATGGAGGACGATACTCTAGTATAGATAGGAAGCAGCTATTAGCATCAAGCAAAGCCATTAAAGAGGCCTGGATGGTTCACCTGCAAGGCCACATAATGCCTGAGAGAAGGTGTTTATAGACCAGCAGAGCTTCTTCCATAACAAACCAGATTATTTCTCAGGTTTATTCATAACATGTTACTGTCTAACCAAAGTGTGTGTAATTAGTGACTCTGACTGCTTTACGAAGGTTTATCAGGCAGAACAGGACAGATTACTGAGCAATAACATGAACTGTTCTCTCTTTACAAAGATACGATAATGAGCCGACTGAGTGAAATCCATCCATCTCCGTTTATGTAACTAGGGTGAATAGTTGATTACTTTTTTCCCACTACATGTACTTATGGATCTTATATATATATTTCTATATCTGACCTCTTTAAGTTGAACAGCCCTGGCCTAAATGTAGAGCTTTCACCAGGTCGGCCCATAAACAGCTTCGCTCTGCTCTTTGCCCGCTAAAAGCCGCCTCCTCTGCTTCATTTCTACCAATCTGTATGCTAAGTTTTCCTCCTGAAATGACAGTTATTATCCAGATTTCCATTTTATCTGCGGCTAGAATGAGGCCGACACGTCGTCTGGGCTGTCAGTAATTACACACAGAGCCTCGGTGCTGCAAAGTGAGACGCTCGCAGCTAAGCAGCGCCAGGATGACAGTGAGAAATGAGGCTGCCTCTTCCACGCTGATAAACAAACACAGCCTGCATCATCATTTCTGCGTGCTAATGTGGTAGCTCACGTGTGCGCAGTGGGAGAGGGAGGGCCTCTGTTCTGGTTTGGTTCTGTCCGTCATTCTGCTTTAAGGTCTAGCTGGACATTGATGGTAGACGTTAAAACCCATCAGGTCTTTGTTGCTGATACAGTCTCCGTCCACGTCTCTAAATGTTGGTAGCAGGAAGTTGAACAGGAAGCTGTGGACGTTATTTCTGTCAGGTCCAAACCAACCTGGCGCTGCCTGGAAGCAGTTAAACCCACCGTTTGGACCAAAATCATTGTTTCCGCGAGACACAGACGGACAGACTGCGACACACAGACGGACAGACAGCGACACGCAGACGGACAGACTGCGACACGCAGACAGACAGACTGCGAAACGCAGACGGACCGACTGCGAAACGCAGACAGACAGACAGCGACAAGCAGATGGACAGACAGCGACACACAGACGGACAGACTGCGAGACACAGACGGACAGACTGCGACACGCAGATGGACAGACAGCGACACACAGACGGACAGACAGCGACACGCAGACGGACAGACTGCGACACGCAGACAGACAGACTGCGAAACGCAGACGGACCGACTGCGAAACGCAGACAGACAGACAGCGACAAGCAGATGGACAGACAGCGACACACAGACGGACAGACTGCGAGACGCAGACGGACAGACTGCGACACGCAGACAGACAGACAGCGACACGCAGTTGGACAGACAGCGACACGCAGGCGTACAGACTGTGACACGCAGACGGACCGACTGCGACACGCAGACGGACAGACTGCGACACGCAGACGGACAGACTGCGACACGCAGACGGACAGACTGACACGCAGATGGACAGACAGCGACACGCAGACGTACAGACAGCGACACGCAGACGGACAGACTGCGACACGCAGACGGACAGACTGACACGCAGATGGACAGACAGCGACACGCAGACGGACAGACAGCGACACACAGACGGACAGACTGCGACACGCAGACGGACAGACTGCGACACGCAGACGGACAGACTGACACGCAGATGGACAGACAGCGACACGCAGACGGACAGACAGCGACACACAGACGGACAGACTGCGACACGCAGACGGACAGACTGCGACACGCAGACGGACAGACTGCGACACGCAGACGGACAGACTGACACGCAGATGGACAGACAGCGACACGCAGACGTACAGACTGACACGCAGACGGACAGACTGACACGCAGACGGACAGACTGACACGCAGACGGACAGACTGACACGCAGACGGACAGACAGCGACACGCAGATGGACAGACAGCGACACGCAGACGTACAGACAGCGACACACAGACGGACAGACAGCGACACGCAGACGGACAGACAGCGACACACAGACGGACAGACTGCGACACGCAGACGGACAGACTGCGACACGCAGACGGAGCAGACGGACAGACTGACACGCAGATGGACAGACAGCGACACGCAGACGTACAGACTGACACGCAGACGGACAGACTGACACGCAGACGGACAGACTGACACGCAGACGGACAGACTGACACGCAGACGGACAGACAGCGACACGCAGATGGACAGACAGCGACACGCAGACGTACAGACTGCGACACGCAGACGGACAGACTGCGACACGCAGACGGACAGACTGACACGCAGATGGACAGACAGCGACACGCAGACGGACAGACAGCGACACACAGACGGACAGACTGCGACACGCAGACGGACAGACTGCGACACGCAGACGGACAGACTGACACGCAGATGGACAGACAGCGACACACAGACGGACAGACTGCGACACGCAGACGGACAGACTGCGACACGCAGACGGACAGACTGCGACACGCAGACGGACAGACTGCGACACGCAGACGGACAGACTGACACGCAGATGGACAGACAGCGACACGCAGACGGACAGACTGACACGCAGACGGACAGACTGACACGCAGACGGACAGACTGACACGCAGACGGACAGACTGACACGCAGACGGACAGACTGCGACACGCAGACGAACAGACTGCGACACGCAGACGTACAGACTGCGACACGCAGACGGACAGACTGCGACACGCAGACGTACAGACTGCGACACGCAGACGGACAGACTGCGACACGCAGACGGACAGACACGCAGACGTACAGACTGCGACACGCAGACGGACAGACACGCAGACGGACAGCGAAAAGCAGACGGGACAAAAAAACTAGTTGTTGCATTTAATTGAGAGATACTGAAATTTCGGTAAGAGCCTTTATAGTTAGTGTATTTTATAGTTGTTGTTGTTGCCCCGCACCATCTCCGTCACCGCCATATTATTATTAAATTCAGATATTATTTTCAGGAGCAAAACATGCAGAAACGAAGGCTTTATTTAATATGACGTACTAAAATAATCCCCACCATCATCCAGCCAGCATATGTTCAGTTTCTGGCCAAATATTTTGGTTTTGTTGTGGATTTTAGTAACAGGGATAACTAGGATCATCCATGGTTTGGATGAACTCTGTTTGTTCTCTGCTTCCAAACTCAGCATCTCTTCATCCAGGCCTGAGAGGAGAAGTTTCTTTTGAAGGTGTGAGAGGCGCTGAAGTTTTGACTGGATTTATATTTAAATATTTTGATGGAGATGAAAAATCTGCTTCCTGGTCTGTTGAAGGACCAATCAATCAGAATGGCTTAGTCTCCGGTTAAACCCAGGTTTAAAGCCATGCAGGGCAGCCTAAAGCCCACTGCCAACATTAAGACAGAAAAAAGAAAGAAAATAACAAACCATCAGTTCAGGGTTTTTTTTGTTTTTTTGTTTTTTAACAGTGTCCTGTATAATTTAGACAGTAGTTTGGGGGGGTTGAACTCTAAAAATATATTAGTTGAAATTTTTAAACCTCCATCAATATGCTTAAATTTATTTCTAATTATAGATTTAATTTGCTCATATTCTAAGAATGTATTTTTGTTAATGCCATATTGCAAATTTAGTGATAAACTCTATACCTTCAGATAAATGATCCAGATAGTTAATACCTTTATTCTTCCAGGACGGAAAGTTCAGGCGTTTTATAAAAGATGTGAATCAGGAAACTGTCGATGTATCAAACTGAACGATTAGACTTTAAAATGGAAAAATTTTCTTATTTGGATGCATAAAAACCTCATTTTATTTCAGTGTTAAATTCAGTTTAAAGTAACATACTGTAATTAAAAATGTCTGCGGTCCTTTACTGGTTGATGATTTCCTTCATTCAGAAGCCGCTGGTTTTTCATCGGTTACCGATGGACTGGATGGTACCAACCTGAATTTAACGAACCTCATAAGGTTGGCTACTTCTGGTCCTGGTTGTTACAGAATAAGGACAGCGAGGTGTTTGGATTTCTGCTTCTGTTCCCTTTTCCCTTATTAAAACAGCTTCAGGCTCTGCATTTGGGTCGTCTTCAGCCCTCCACCTAACCTGACCGTTTGCATCACCTGGAGGACGCTTTCAATCAGAACAATGATGGCTACCCTGATGTAGACGACCCTCACCAGAAGCACCGTCCCACTGCTGAATGAATCCTGAGAACGTCTTTAAACGAGGCAAGGCTCTAATCAGGCCAGGATCCACTAACAGTTGGAAGAAGAGCTGAATGTTTAGGGCTGGTTCCAGACAAACGGAGCTGAACCCTTGAAGGTTACAGCTAATTAGAGCCATTTATCAGCGCGCTACAGCCGCCAGTGACATCTACACGCTCCTGTCCCTGTTTCCATTACTGTTATCTGTAAGGAGGAGGGGATTCATCTGCACATGTCCATGCAGCAGCAGCAGCAGCGGCGGCGGAGGGGACTCTGGGTGAAGGAATCATTGGCTGCAGAGCGTTACCTGGACTCAGGTGGGTGATTAGCGCTGCCTGCTAACGTCACCTGATGCTCAGCAGCTGATAAGCAGCAGCTCCTTTAAAAGCTGCAGCAGGTGAACACATCCAGTCTCAGCCGGTTAGAGAGGACGACTCCAAACACGCTTCTTCAGGTGGAAAAGCAACACGTTTAGGTCAGAGAGGGAGGGGGGGCGTCATGGTGTGGGACGTTTCAGCTTAATGCTATCAGAAAAATAAAGTACAGACTGAGTGAAATCCATCCATCTCTGTTTAAAGAACTGGGATGAAGATTTTAATCTATTCAGTTTATTTCTATAGCTCCAATTCACATCATGTCATCTCAGGTTTATAGATCCAGATCAACCAGTCAGATTGATTCAAAGTTTTCTATCTAAGGAAAACCAGCTGATTGCATCGACTCATTGACTCTTCAGCAATCCCTCACACTAAGCATGCTTGGAGCGACAGTGGAGAGGAAAAACTCCCTTTGAACAGGAAGAAACCTCCAGCAGAACCAGGCTCAGTGTGAGCGGCCATCTGCTGAGGCCCACTGGGGTTCAAGGAGACAGAAGCAGACATAGAAAAAGAAGCATAGATACAAAAGGCAACTGTCAACCAGCTCCACAGGCGGCCCCGTCCAGGAAACACACAGCCAGGCAGACGAGCTCCGAGCCAGCTCCCATGTCAGAGGATGAAGAGAGCACATCCAGTTAGTCACAGTCAGAGAAACAGGACTACACTGGAAAACAGGCCAAGCTCCAACATCTAGAAACAAAGGTGTTGATGGCAGCAGCACAGCTGATATTTCTCTCCAGGATGGAGTCACAGCCAAACAGGAACAGACCAGATGAAGCTACTATGAGAAAAAGCAGAGAGAGCAGAACGTTAGAGATTGAACTAACAGATTCTGCAGAGTGGGAGAATAGAGATAGAATGAAGCAGAATGGGGAAAAAGGGGTCCCTATGTCCTCCAGCAGTCTAAGCCTATAGCAGCAGATCTATAGAGATAGAATGAAGCAGAATGAGGAAAAAGGGGTCCCTATGTCCTCCAGCAGTCTAAGCCTATAGCAGCAGAACTAGTGTTGCACCGATACCAATACCAGTATCGGACGGGGTGCCGATACTGCCCTAAAATGGTGGTATCGGTATCGGCGAGTACCAACAAATAGGGCACCGATACCATTTTGAGAGCCATAAGTTTATTCAACTATTGTCACCCACTCCTGGTAGGCAATAAAACCTTTTTATTTTTATTATACAGTAGAACTTTTTATCAAAAAGTTTTACTGGATTCACTTTGTATTAGATATTTTCCTGCCTCACAAAGGAAGGCAGCAGCTTGACAAAGCCATGATGGCAATTATTTTACATTATTATGGTATCGGTATCGGCCGATACTGCACAGCCAGGTATTGGGTATCGGTATCGGGGCCAAAAAATGGCATCGGCGCAACACTAAGCAGAACTATAGAGATAGAATGAAGCAGAATGATGAAAAAGGGGTCCCTATGTCCTCCAGCAGTCTGAGCCTATAGTAGCAGAACTATAGAGATAGAATGAAGCAGAATGATGAAAAAGGGGTCCCTATGTCCTCCAGCAGTCTGAGCCTATAGCAGCAGAACTATAGAGATAGAATGAGGCAGAATGATGAAAAGTTTAATACTTTTCATGGATGGAAGACGGAGAGGAGAAATGGATCAGAGAAACCAAAGGAAAAACTCAACCAGAACCATGAACGTTTGTAGAAATTGGTCGTATTCCCACCAGAGAAACATGAGGTGGGTTCAGTGCAGCTTCTCTGGATCAAACGCTTCATCCATCAAGCTTTATTTTAGCTCGTTGGACCCTGAATGAAAGCTAGCTAAAACCAGAGCGTCCAGGAGGGAAAGCATCATCCAGCTTCAGCTCCTCCCGTTTGGGTCAAACCCATTAAGGTCCAGTGGTGTCAACAGTTCACACATTTGTTACTTCAGTAGAAGTATAGATGCTGCAGTTTAAAAACACTCTGGGAAAAGTTGAAGTATCAACTAAGTATAGTAATGAAGTATTAGTACTTCATTACTTCACAGCTCTTTTCAGAAAGGAGGCAGAGGAATGTTGTTCAAACATGATTCATTCCTTGGAAAACAGCAAAGGATCCTTAGATCAGAGCGGCCTGCACAACTGAAGGCTTCCTGCCCCTTCTAGAATATCTAGCTCTAACATTTGATGGCTTTCTGTTCTCTCGGCTGAAACACACACAGAACGAAGCAGCTCCTGGTGAGAGGAGAACAGGTGAACTGGGCTCAGTGATTGTGAGCAGGTCTCCTGTTTGTCCTTCAGGACATTGCTATGCAGAGACGGCGCTCCTCCTCAGCCTGCTGACAGCCTTTATCTCCAGCAGCTGTCCGCTGGTCCTCTCTGTCTCTGACAGCTGATCTATATTCTCTGCAGACAGTCGCTTCCAGCCCAAAGCTGTTTACCCTGCAGCTTCCAGGCCATCTCTGCTAGCGGTGCATCAGCACACGCATCCTCACTGCCTGCACAGAGAAAGCTACAGGCAGCTAGCATGGCTGCTAAGGTTTCACATAGAGCACTGATGCTACCAGCTAGCATGGCTGCTAAGGTTTCACATAGAGCACTGATGCTACCAGCTAGCATGGCTGCTTCAGGTTTCACATAGAGCAGTGATGCTACCAGCTAGCATGGATGCTTCAGGTTTCACATAGAGCACTGATGCTACCAGCTAGCATGGATGCTTCAGGTTTCACATAGAGCAGTGATGCTACCAGCTAGCATGGATGCTTCAGGTTTCACATAGAGCACTGATGCTACCAGCTAGCATGGATGCTTCAGGTTTCACATAGAGCAGTGATGCTACCAGCTAGCATGGATGCTTCAGGTTTCACATAGAGCAGTGATGCTACCAGCTAGCATGGCTGCTAAGGTTTCACATAGAGCACTGATGCTACCAGCTAGCATGGCTGCTTCAGGTTTCACATAGAGCAGTGATGCTACCAGCTAGCATGGATGCTTCAGGTTTCACATAGAGCACTGATGCTACCAGCTAGCATGGATGCTTCAGGTTTCACATAGAGCAGTGATGCTACCAGCTAGCATGGATGCTTCAGGTTTCACATAGAGCACTGATGCTACCAGCTAGCATGGATGCTTCAGGTTTCACATAGAGCAGTGATGCTACCAGCTAGCATGGATGCTTCAGGTTTCACATAGAGCAGTGATGCTACCAGCTAGCATGGCTGCTAAGGTTTCACATAGAGCAGTGATGCTACCAGCTAGCATGGCTGCTTCAGGTTTCACATAGAGCAGTGATGCTACCAGCTAGCATGGCTGCTTCAGGTTTCACATAGAGCACTGATGCTACCAGCTAGCATGCCTGCTTCAGGTTTCACATAGAGCACTGATGCTACCAGCTAGCATGGCTGCTTCAGGTTTCACATAGAGCACTGATGCTACCAGCTAGCATGGCTGCTTCAGGTTTCACATAGAGCACTGATGCTACCAGCTAGCATGGCTGCTTCAGGTTTCACATAGAGCACTGATGCTACCAGCTAGCATGGCTGCTTCAGGTTTCACATAGAGCAGTGATGCTACCAGCTAGCATGGCTGCTTCAGGTTTCACATAGAGCACTGATGCTACCAGCTAGCATAACTGCTTCAGGTTTCACATAGAGCAGTGATGCTACCAGCTAGCATGGCTGCTTCAGGTTTCACATAGAGCACTAATGCTACCAGCTAGCATGGCTGCTTCAGGTTTCACATAGAGCACTGATGCTACCAGCTAGCATGGCTGCTTCAGGTTTCACATAGAGCAGTGATGCTACCAGCTAGCATGGCTGCTTCAGGTTTCACATAGAGCACTGATGCTACCAGCTAGCATAACTGCTTCAGGTTTCACATAGAGCAGTGATGCTACCAGCTAGCATGGCTGCTTCAGGTTTCACATAGAGCACTAATGCTACCAGCTAGCATGGCTGCTTCAGGTTTCACATAGAGCACTGATGCTACCAGCTAGCATGGCTGCTTCAGGTTTCACATAGAGCACTAATGCTACCAGCTAGCATGGCTGCTTCAGGTTTCACATAGAGCAGTGATGCTACCAGCTAGCATGGCTGCTTCAGGTTTCACATAGAGCAGTGATGCTACCAGCTAGCATGGCTGCTTCAGGTTTCACATAGAGCACTGATGCTACCAGCTAGCATGACTGCTTCAAGTTTCACATAGAGCACTGATGCTACCAGCTTCATTGGCTGCTTCAGGTTTCACATAGAGCACTGATGCTACCAGCTAGCATGGCTGCTTCAGGTTTCACATAGAGCAGTGATGCTACCAGCTAGCATGGCTGCTTCAGGTTTCACATAGAGCACTGATGCTACCAGCTAGCATGGCTGCTTCAGGTTTCACATAGAGCACTGATGCTACCAGCTAGCATGGCTGCTTCAGGTTTCACATAGAGCAGTGATGCTACCAGCTAGCATGGCTGCTTCAGGTTTCACATAGAGCAGTGATGCTACCAGCTAGCATGGCTGCTTCAGGTTTCACATAGAGCACTGATGCTACCAGCTAGCATGCCTGCTTCAGGTTTCACATAGAGCACTGATGCTACCAGCTAGCATGGCTGCTTCAGGTTTCACATAGAGCACTGATGCTACCAGCTAGCATGGCTGCTTCAGGTTTCACATAGAGCAGTGATGCTACCAGCTAGCATGGCTGCTTCAGGTTTCACATAGAGCACTGATGCTACCAGCTAGCATAACTGCTTCAGGTTTCACATAGAGCAGTGATGCTACCAGCTAGCATGGCTGCTTCAGGTTTCACATAGAGCACTAATGCTACCAGCTAGCATGGCTGCTTCAGGTTTCACATAGAGCACTGATGCTACCAGCTAGCATGGCTGCTTCAGGTTTCACATAGAGCAGTGATGCTACCAGTTAGCATGGCTGCTTCAGGTTTCACATAGAGCAGTGATGCTACCAGCTAGCATGGCTGCTTCAGGTTTCACATAGAGCACTGATGCTACCAGCTAGCATGACTGCTTCAGGTTTCACATAGAGCACTGATGCTACCAGCTAGCATGACTGCTTCAGGTTTCACATAGAGCACTGATGCTACCAGCTAGCATGACTGCTTCAGGTTTCACATAGAGCAGTGATGCTACCAGCTAGCATGGCTGCTTCAGGTTTCACATAGAGCACTGATGCTACCAGCTAGCATGCCTGCTTCAGGTTTCACATAGAGCACTGATGCTACCAGCTAGCATGGCTGCTTCAGGTTTCACATAGAGCACTGATGCTACCAGCTAGCATGGCTGCTTCAGGTTTCACATAGAGCAGTGATGCTACCAGCTAGCATGGCTGCTTCAGGTTTCACATAGAGCACTGATGCTATCAGCTAGCATGGCTGCTTCAGGTTTCACATAGAGCACTGATGCTACCAGCTAGCATGGCTGCTTCAGGTTTCACGTAGAGCACTGATGCTACCAGCTAGCATGGCTGCTTCAGGTTTCACATAGAGCACTGATGCTACCAGCTAGCATCGCTCAGAAAGAGGTGAAGCTTGTACTTGGCTGGTCCTTGGTTGGTCCTTGGTTGGTCCTTGGCTGGTCCTTGGCATTTCCTTGGTTGGTCCTTGGCTGGTCCTTGGCTGGTCCTTGGCTTTTCCTTGGTTGGTCCTTGGCTGGTCCTTGGTTGATCCTTGGCTGGTCCTTGGCTTTTCCTTGGTTGGTCCTTGGCTGGTCCTTGGTTGGTCCTTGGCTGGTCCCTGGCTTTTCCTTGGTTGGTCCTTGGCTGGTCCTTGGTTGGTCCTTGGCTGGTCCTTGGTTGGTCCTTGGCTGGTCCTTGGCTGGTCCTTGGTTGGTCATTGGATGGTCCTTGGTTGGTCCTTGGCTGGTCCTTGAATGGTCCTTGGTTGGTCCTTGGCTGGTCCTTGGTTGGTCCTTGGCTTGTCCTTGGCTGGCCCTTGGCTGGTCCTTGGCTTGTCCTTGGTTGGTCCTTGGCTAGTCCTTGGCTTGTCCTTGGCTGGTCCTTGGTTGGCCCTTGGTTGGTCCTTGGCTAGTCCTTGGCTTGTCCTTGGCTGGTCCTTGGTTGGCCCTTGGTTGGTCCTTGGCTGGCCCTTGGCTGGTCATTGGCTGGTCCTTGGCTTGTCCTTGGCTGGTCCTTGGTTGGCCCTTGGTTGGCCCTTGGTTGGTCCTTGGCTGGCCCTTGGCTGGTTCTTGGTTGGTCCTTGGTTGGTCCTTGGCTGGTCCTTGGCTGGTCCTTGGTTGGTCCTTGGCTTTTCCTTGGTTGGTCCTTGGCTGGTCCTTGGTTGGTCCTTGGCTTTTCCTTGGTTGGTCCTTGGCTTTTCCTTGGTTGGTCCTTGGCTGGTCCTTGGTTGGTCCTTGGTTGGTCCTTGGCTGGTCCTTGGTTGGCCCTTGGTTGGTCCTTGGCTTGTCCTTGGTTGGTCCTTGGCTGGTCCTTGGCTGGTCCTTGGCTGGTCCTTTTATTTCCGTCATGATTTGTAGACATTAAGATCTAAAGAGAAGCGCCATCTCCTGGTCAGACCTGTAATTCAGTGAAAAGTCACTGCAGGGGGTCACTGCAGTGGCTGGAAGTTGGAGGGGATTTTGCTGCCAGTCGGCTGGCGTTTGACCGGGAGCGGCCATTTTGAAAGACTGCTAATGTTAACTTGAACATAAAATCCAGGCTGATCTGTGATGTCATTGCATCATTTTATTATTAATGGTTTTTAATCATGTGTTTTTCTTCTCCTCTGTCTTCATTGTAGCGTGGTTAGTGGATCTTTACTAGTTTAGTCAAGAGTTTGAATTTTAATTTATTCCATTTGTAGAGCTCCGTCTGAGCTCCATTCACTCTTTAATTGTTCTAACAGCCTGTTGGTCGTCCGCTCAGGCTGATTATTTGATGAAGTAACATATTTTCATGTATCCCTATTCAGAGTGATCAGCCCATACAATGCCCCCCCCCCCCCCATTGGTCAAAGGTTTGTTCTGTTGCCGGGTAATATTTGGAAAACATTTGCTAATTAGCTTCCTCAGCTAGCTGAATGTCAGAGCGGCAGCTTTTGTTTACCTTCCAGTCATCAGTCAAAGATCCTAAAAGTGGAGCCAGACCTTCTGACCACGCTGCTCACTAATGAAGCCAATTAATGGGAACTAATTAGGCTTTGTTAGATCAGGATCTACTGGAAAAAACACGTCTGTGTTTGGAAACGTCTCCTAATTAATCCAACAACACGCCAATAAACAGAGGCTGTTCTGCCAACCTTTTAACACCAGGCTGATGTTTCTGAGGGCAGCGGGGGGTTAAGGTGGTTCATTATCAGCTAGCAATGCTTAGAAATGAAACAGGTCTGCGTGATCGTAGCTTCTGCTTCTGCTTTCATCTTCAGTCGGTCAGAAGGAGAAGAAGCAGAGAAACTGATAAACGTTCACCTCTCCGTTAGCATTAACCAGCCACACCTTTCACTCTAATTACACATGCTAATGATTAGCGCTAGCGATGCTATTTAGCTTTAGGTTTTGAAACATGTGTTCCAACAGCATCTGAGCTAATGATCACTAAA